GGGCGCCCACAGGGCTCACGCGTCCTCACGGCCGACCCCTCAGCTTCTGGGATACAAGTCACATCCTGTGGCCGCACGGGTCCGAGCCCGTCTCGAGGGAGCCTGAGACGCACTCTCTCCTAGGCACCCCTACACGCTCGACTTGGTTTCGACCGGGCCGCCGCGGGGAGGCGGGGCCAAAATTCACACTTATAAGGTGTGCAATTCTATTTGACAAGTGTATGCAGTATTCAGCGTGACAGATTAATACAATAATGTAACCAGCACTACAATCAAGCTATACAGTACTTTGATCATCCCCCAAAATTCACTTGAGCACTTCTTCACACTCCCATCACCTGGCAACCACTGATCTGATTTCTGTTCCTGTCTCTGTCTTTTTTTTTTTTTTTGTATAAACAAGGTCTTGCTATTGCCCAAGCTGGTCTTGAATTCCTGGGCTCAAGCAATTCACCTGCCTTGGCCTCCCAAAGAATTACAGGCATGAGCCATCACACCCGGCCCCTATATCTCTGTCTTCTTAGAATATAATATAAATGGAATCATAAAGGATGTGCCTTTTTGTGTCTGGCTTCTGTCATTTAGCATACTGCTTTTGAGATTCAGTCATACTGTTGCATTGGCAGTAGTTCATTCCTTTCTATTGCTGAGTAGCATTTCATTGCATGAATGTAAGACAATTTGTTTATCTGTTCACCAGTTGCTACACATTTGATCATTAATAAGTACTTTTGGACAATTATAAATAAGGCGGCCATAAACATTTTCTTTTTCTTTTCTTTTTTTTTTTTTTTTTTTGTGTTTTCACTCTGCAGACTGATCCTTTGCTCTGTATCTTCATCCCCTTTCTCTGTAGTGGATTACCATAGCTTACTAGCTAATTTGCTTGCTATTTCTTTCCTTTTGTCTTTCTGAAACATATCAGCCCCTGTGACTCTGCAAAGTCAGGCAAGATGGGCATTTTGTTTTGTTTGCAGGAGATGGTCACCTCTCCCAGAAAGGAAATCATGGTCTCTAGCTGGCTCTGGGATCCTTGGAGTACCAGCTAAGTCAGGGCTGGAACACTTGGAGGGAGGACTTGATGTCCTTGGGACAGCTCAGACCTTTATAGCTAAAGAGCCTTCAAACTAGATGCCCAAGAGTCCTCAAGGACTAAGGAGATACTGCAAAGGCTGCCTGTGGTAGGGGGAGCCAGGGCTTCAATTAGGGATGCACTTTCATCTATAATATTTCTTTTGGACAGAGTTTAGCACTTAGATAACAACAATAACTTAAATACCTGTCTTGGACCCTTGATCAGAGCTCTAGCCTGCCCTCCTCCTTCTAGAGATGGGGTGGGATGTACTCCCACCTCCTAAAAGTCTTCGGCTTAGAGCTCTTAGTCAGCTGCCAATTTACCAGTTGAGTGACTTTGAGCAAGCCTCTTCCTTGCACTTGGTCTCATTTTCTCATAGGGTTTGGTGGGGGGAGGGCAGGATTCTAGGGTGATTCTAGAAAGGAGACAGGGAAACCAGACATACTCTCTTCTTGACACACAAAAACATGCATATATATTTCCTCCCCACCTCCATATAGAAGAGAGACTGGGGAAAGGACTGTGAAAACAGGAAGCTTTAACATAAATAACAGGTCATAAGGGAATCTATGCAGCAATGAAAATAAAGAATGTATAACCACATGCAACAATACTGGTAAATCTCACAGATATAATGTTGAATGAAAGAAGTCATATCAAGAGTACATACTATCTGATTCTAGTTACTAGACTCCACATTATTGGGTATATAAACAAGTAAAACTGTTCCACTCAGAACAGTGGTACCCTTTCCAGTGACTGAAAGGAAGGACAGAAGTGGGGCTTCTGCACTGTCAACCATGTCTGTTTCTTTTTTTTTTTTGAGTCGGAGTCTCATTCTGTCACCCAGGCTGGAATGCAGTGGCATGCTCATGGCCACCGCAGCCTCAACCTGCTAGGCTCAGGCGATCCTTCTGTTTCAGCCTTCCAAGTAGTTGGAACCACAGGTGTGCACCACCAAGCCTGGCTAATTTTTTAAAAGTTTATTGTAAAGATGAGTTGTCACCATGTTGCCCAGGCTGATCTCAAACCCATGGGCTCAGTCAATCCTCTCACCTCAGCCTCCCAAAGTGCTAGGATTACAGGTGTGATCCACTGAACCCAGCTATGTTCTGTTTCTTGACCTCAGCATCATTTCCACGGCACTCTATTGGCCCAGGTAGTCACCAAGGTTAACCTAGTTTTATGAGAGAGGAAACTTAGATAACTCCTCTCATAGGAGATATGTCAACACTACATTGTAAGAATAACTTGTGGGATGGTATATATATGGGTGCGGTCATCTTTACCAAATGTAATCTACCACATAGTGCATCATTTTTTATCTTTTCTGTGTTCCCAACCATCAATATTTGCAACAAGTCACCTAATCCTACTAATACTACTACTACTATTTCCTGATACTACTATGCCCTGGATCTGTCTTCAACCACCATTTAAGCCATCTTAATTTCATGCCCACCATTATCTCTCCTGAATTACTGCAATAACCTCCTAAAAAGCCTAGTCTTTTTATCTCCAGTCTTGCCTCTTTCCAATCTATTCTCCACACTGAAGCTGGAACAGTTAAAAAACAAATAGCTAGCTGGGCTCGGTGGCTCAGCCTGTAATCCCGTGCCTTTGGGAGGCTGAGGTGAGTAAATTGCCTGAGGCCGCGGGTTCAAGACCCGCCTGGGCAAATTGGCAAGACCTCATCTCTACAACAAATCAAAAATTAGCCAGACGTGGTAGCGCGCACCCGTAGTTCCAGCTACTTGGAAGGCTGAGGCAAAAGGATCGCCGGATCCCAGCAGGCGAGGCTGCAGTGGCCAGGAGCGGCCACTGCACTCCAGTCTGGGCGACAGAGTGAGACTCCAACTCCAACTCCAAAAAAAACCAAACAAATAGCTCACTTAAAGTATTCCTAAAGTATGCTTATTTTGGTAAAAGATTACACCAGATAGCTTACAAGTGAAATGAACTGATTTGTAGTTTCCTGTTTCCATATTGATGCACAATTCACCACTCTTTACCACATGAGTTGCTCTTAGTCAAAAGTTATAGTTTGGCTACCAGTTCTGAGAAGGTACCATGCTTTCCTAGTAATTTCTCCATATGTAGAATGTCATTTACTGACAGAGTATTTCAACTAGTGCAGTGTTTCTCAAAGTGTAGTCTGAGAATCATCCTGCAATAGGTTGATGGATAGGGGAGGATAGGAGGATCTCAAAATGTATATTCAAATAAAGAACACCATGTGACTCTACGTTACACCAAAGCTTGAGAACCACTAATTAAAGTGTCTCTAACTTGCCCAGTTAAAATGAACCAAAAGATATTTCATGCTTCTTTGACTTCCCCAGATCTCCCTGATGTTCCCTCTGTCTCCTGCCAGCCAACGAAAGGTGGATAGAAGAGAGGAATATATGCTGGGACTTGGGACTGAGACAAATTCTCATCTGCTGCTCAGCCCTGATTCCTCAGCCTTGCTGCCTGTGAGATAAGTCCAGTTGTTCATTAGGTGAACTTGCTCTGTCCTCTTAGTTTACAGCCTTGAATTATCCTGCTTCATCATTCTAGGCCACCTTTCTCACTCAACTGCATCCTTTGAAGAGTCTAGTTATAAGAAACCTCCAAACAATTCTCCTGGAGTTCCTTAGTCCTTTTTCTATGCCTCCAGTAATACATGCACACAGTCATTCACAAGCTCAACAAATATCTATCTGTTGAGTGCATACTATGTGCCCGGTACAGTTCCAAGACCTAGACATACAATATGGAACAAACCTGATAAAAATTCTTATCCTTGTAGAATTAGTAGTCTAGTGGAGAAGACAAATGATAGTAGTAAATAAATACATAAGAAAATTGCATGGCATCTTAGAAGAGGAAACAAGTGGGTTGGGGTTCCAATTTAAGTGGCATGGTGGAAGAGTTTCAATGAGTAGATCTGGAGAGGTGGGAGAGTGGGCCATATGGCTACCTAGGCAAGGAGCAGGTCAGCCTGGTAGGTTAGAGGAAGAGGGAAGGGACCATCATGACTGGAGCAGGGAGTTGGGGAAAAGGTCAGGGAGGTTGTGAGTGGCTAGATTCCATCAGCCTTTTAGGCCACTGTAGAGATATGGGTTTTTACTCTGAGTGAAATGGAAACCATTGCAGGGTTTTAAGCAGAGGAAGAACATAATTTGAAGTTTTTAAAACATATGTCTGGCTGTGGAGAACAGGCAAGAAGAAAAGTGAAATCAAGAAGCTATGGCAATGAGCCAGACAAGGCACAAGGGTGGTTTGGACCATGGTGGCAAGTGTGGAAGTCATAGGAGTAACTTTTTTTTTTCTTACTCTGTTGCTCAGGCTGGAGTGCAGTAGCATGGTCAGGACTCACCACAGCCTCGAACTCCTGAGCTCATCCTTCCACCTCAGCCTCCTGAGTAGCTGGGACTACAGGTGCGTGCTACCATGCCTGGCTAATTTTTTGATTTTTTTTTGTAGAGATGAGGTCTTGCTATGTTGCCTAAGCTGGTCTCGAACTCCTGGACTCAAGCAATCCTCCCACCTCGGCCTCCCAGAGTTACAGGTGTGAGCCACCGCGCCCGGCCGAAGATTAACATTTGTTTAATTCAAGTTGTGACATTAACCATGGCTTGCATTAAATGCATCACTAATGTGCTTCTGCAGTGGGTTTTTCCACTTTTGATTTCAGGGAATGGTAGTGATGGGAATGGGGTAAGAAATGTCTGAGGTTACCAAGGACACAGAACCTCATGAATCTGAAGACTTGAGAGGGTTCTGGGCCTCTAGGCCTCTGGCGCAGCAATAATTCTGTAGCCGAACCCACCAGATGCGTTTAGTGACCATGCGCAACAGGCAGGTGGGAGCCTATGGAAAGCGCAGGACTTTCGGAAAGCCGCACGAGCGCGTTCGGGGAGTCCCAGCCCGGTGCCTCTGCGCAGGCGCGGTGGTCCCCCACGGGCTTGCGCGCGCAGCTGCTGCGGCACAACCTTCTGGAAGCTCATTGCAGTGGCTTCGGTGCTGGCTGCGGTTGGTGGTGCAGGTACTGGTTGTCCCGGGTCCCTAGTTGTGGGTTCGCGGCTGGGTCGCGGGCTCCGAGGGCGCACCTGGGACGGGGTGGGGACCGCGCGCAGCCGACCGACCTGGCTGTGCAGTGCGGATGCGGCAGCTCCTGTGGGAGGCGGGCACGCTGCTGCAGGACGGAGCCCTCGGCTTCCCTCCATCCTTCTCCTGCGCCCGGGGTTCGCCACTTCGGCTCTGTTGACATTTTGGGCGGGATCATTCGTTGCTGTGTGTGTGTGCGTGCGCGCGCGCGTTTGTGGATGCTGGCTCTCCGTTATTACAGGATGTGTAGCCGCATCCCTGGCCCTATGCATTAGATAACTGGCAGCACCTCTTCTTCCCAGTTTTAATCACCAGAAATATCTCCAGACGTTGCCAAATGGTCCCTGGGTGACAAAATCTGTCCCCTTTTCCTCCCTCCCGTTGAGAACCTTTTGCTTGCGTCACATTTTCACCGGCTTTCCGTGTAAGCTCCCTGGAGACGGAGGCGACTGTCTTAGTCACCGCGGCGTCCCAGGAGCCCAGCACGGCGCCAGGTGTATGGTGGGCTCCCAATGTTTGGCGGGGGAATGCATGACGTCATGTGCGCTGTGTGCCGGTCTCTGTGCTGAGAGATGCGTATTGGCATGGTAATTGCAGTGCTAGGCGCACACCCCGCTTGCCACATTGTAAGACAGCTGCGGCAGTATTGTTATTTCCAGGACCCTCTTGTGAGAATGGGGACCCTTTCAGGCCTGGCCCCGCAATGCCCCGTTCCCTGCTCATTGTAGTTGCTCAGTCACTTGTAGAATGAATGAATGAATGCATGCAACACAGAGCAGTCTGTGCGCAGAGGAGTGCTTTGGGATCAAAGAGAGCTTCACACAAGAAGTGACAGCTGAAAGGAGTCAGGCTTTAAAGAATGAATAAAAGTTTGGTAGGAGAGAGAAAGAAGGCAACCTTCCGAGCAGAGGGAATGGCCCTGGTGCAAAGGATAGGAGGTTATAGAAAGTGTCTGGGAAATACTTCTTTATGACTGTAGTGTCGAGTAGCTGGAGCTCAAGAGGTGATGTCATCTAGGCAGTCTCTAGATCATTATGCATGGTCTCAGCATTTGAACTTTTTGGAGAGACAGGTGGAGGACCAGTTAGGGATTACAAGCAAGGGAATGACAATTATATTTTGCATATTAGAAGGAATTTCTTGGCTACAATGTGAGACTGAAGAAGCCTGTATTTGGGCAGTTTCAGTAGGCTAGAATAGGGAGGCTCTTAGGGAAAATAAAGTCTCCAAAACTTGATTATTGATTATGTGAGATGTAAGTACGAAGAGAAATTTGCAAGTCAAATATGAAATTAGGCATCTGAGTTCAGGAACTGGTGTGAACAGGCAGGAGTTAAATAGATTTGTGACTGGATCTCATTGTTAACAGTGGGTCTTTTCTGATCTGTTTTGCTTAGGAGTATTAAGTCTGAAGCAGCTGTTCACTTGGAGGATACTTCAGTAATCCTTAAGTAACTCCTTGGCTTTTGACCTATGAAGAAGATTATCCTTTAAGTATAGTAGTTGGGTAGGAGTGTTCTAGGACTCAGAGGCTATTCATATGGACATAAATATCCGAACCAAACAAAGAACAATATTTTCAGGATTAACAACAATTTGTTTCACTTATTTAATGGCTTAAATTTTCTTTTTGACAGTTTCTGCAAGACTGTAAACGGAATTCTGGAACCTTGATATTTTGCTGTGTATAGTGCCTGTTGGTGGACGGTACTGATAATCAGCTAGAGTCTGAAAGGGACTGGATCCTGCTCCTGTTACACAGCGCAAGCTGTAGTGCCCTTGAACAAGATGACAGCCATCTCACCAGACTCTCAAACTCTGGCCTCGAGTGAAGAAAACAAGGTCCTAGGAATGGTTACTTCTGGGGATCAAGAAGCTATGTTAAGAGGAGACACTGCTGACCTAGAGTCTTTCAGACAGAGGTTCAGGTCATTTTGTTACTCAGAAGTAGCGGGACCCAGGAAAGCTCTGAATCAACTCTGGGAGCTCTGCATTCAGTGGCTGAGACCAGACATCCACACAAAGGAACAGATTTTAGAGCTTTTGGTGTTTGAGCAATTCCTGACCATTTTGCCAGGGGAGATCAGGATTTGGGTAAAGTCACAACGTCCTAAGAGTAGTGAGGAGGTGGTGACCCTAATAGAAGATTTGACCCAAATGCTTGAAGGAAAAGAAGGTGAGATTTATAGATGGAGGGAGGAAGTGGGAGAAATTGCCTTAAGGTATAAAAGTAAACACAAAAGAAAGCAATCTGCTAAAAAGGATTCTAAACTTTGGAGTTGAGACTGGGTTTTTTAAATCAGCCCTGCCATCTACTTTATGATTTTGAACAAGCTATGTAACCTCTCAGAATTTAAATATTTTTAACTGTAAGAAGGGATAACCATCTTTTCTATAGCTTTCTTATAAAGATTAAATAAGGTATAATACATGGTGGATACTCAAGAAATATTAATTTCTTTCCCTTTCGCTTCAAGAACACAGGAAAGAAAGAAGTCTGTGAATGTGTTTGGAGTCACAAGCAAATCAACCAGTGCAGACCTCAATAAGTTTTTTGTTTGTTTGTTTGTTTGTTTGTTTGTTTTGTGTGTGTGTGTTTTTAGAGACAGGTTCTTATTCTGCCACCCAGGCAGAATGCAGTGGCATAGTCATAGCTCGCTGTAACCTCAAACTCCTGGGCCTCAAACTAGCTGGGACTGCATGTATGTGCCACCACGCCCAGCTAATTTCTATTTTCAAAATTTTTGTAGAGGTGGGATCTCACTATGTTACCTAGGCTGATCTTGAACTCCTAGTCTGAAGGATTTCTCCCACCTTGTCCTCCCAAAGTGCTGAGGTTACAGGCCTGAGCCACCGTGCCTGGCCACAGACCCCAACTTCTAGCTCCAGTGTGTGCAGGAGTACAGTGCTGGAGCAGGACTGTCTGCACTGTTTTGCCATTCAGGTTAAGCACATAAAAGGTAGCTAGGGCAGTTAAGGAAGTAAATTTTTCATCAAATTATAGCCATCTGTGGCTAGCATCTTCCCTATTTTATAAAAGTGCAGGTCCACAACCTTAGATGAGGAGCAGCTGAATTATATTTATTTTTATAATTACATGATTTTAAATACAAGTGTATAAAAAATATAAACTATGAATACTAGTGATATCATTATAAAATATTGATATAAAGAGTTCTAAGGTCAATAGTCCTTTCAGAATGTGGCTCAATTTTTATAAAAACTCAAATATGCTACAAATATTTCTGTTTTGTACTGTGTTGTGCTAAAATATACTTGTACGTTTTATGTATAAAAATATTTGGAATAAGAATAAATATTTGTAGCATGTTATTTACCACAGGGTTCCCAATACATATGTGTGACAGTTTGTATTTTGCCCAGAGTTCTGAGATGAACAAGGAAATAAATAGTATACCCCATAGACTTAATTTCTTAATTTGTGATCACACAGCTAATTGATGTATTCCCGATTCCTCTCTGATTTGTCACTGCAACATGGTGCTTCTCCAAAGTTAGGGCCTCTAATGTGCAGGCTGCTGCAACAAAGAATGATTTTTAGCATTCTGTAACATTAAACAGGTTTCTTAAATTCATCCCACTTTTTTCTTGATTACATGATGCTTAATTCCTTATTTTAATTGATGGTCTAATCAGGAGAGTTGCCAAAAATCCTTTTTATAAGAAGGTAGAGTATGATTTGAAAAAACACTTTTGCCTTATTTGAAAAAGGGCTTTTCACATCTGAGAGTATTTAATACATTTAGGTAGTAAGAGTTTTTAGGTACCACTTTATTGTCTTTAGGAATCTGCTGGCGATACCAGAGGTGGTGTCAGTTCTTGAGACTAGCTTGGTGCTTTCATTCAGTAAACGATTTTGAGTGACTCTTGTGCAAGGTATTGTGCTAGGACTATGGAGAAAATAAATTAATAGATAAAAGAAAAATACTCTTACTGGAATACATCTTTTAGATTAGAAGTACTTCAAAACTCATTGTGCAAATTAAATATTTTAAAACTGAGGGTAAATACAATGAAGAAAATCAGTTTTTGTAAGCTTAGGAATTGAAAGGATTTTATATGGGTAGGAGAAAAGGCCTGGGTTTTTATAGAAAACTATCTGTGGCTGTTCTCTGTTTTAAAGAGTGGGAAAACCTTTTGTTTCCTTTGACCTTTTTATCTTGAGAGGCCCACAGCTGTTGTAACCCTTGTAATTTCCTAGGTTACTAAAGCAGTAAGAGTATCTTTTGTTAAAATATTTGGCCTTTTGTCCTGAGTTCCTGAAACAGCTCCCGAACAGCTCCAGAGTTGTAAAGGGGAAAGACAGTCGTTTTGTTATTTATAACAAGCCCCTTTTAACCACCCTTGAGTTTATGTTAATGAGGTGATTTTTGTAAGGTCTGTAGATAACCATGTGATGGGGGAGGGGTGCTTGTTGCCAGGAGAACCAGCCCTGTGCTTAGAGGGTTGGAACTCAGCCCTTCCCCTAACTTCTGGGGAGGGGAGAGGGACTGCAGGTTGAGTTGATCACAAATAGCCAATGGTTTAATCAATAGTGCCTTGTATGAAGCCTCCATAAAATCCCAGAAGGACAGGGTTTGTCAGGGCTTCCAGATAGCTGAACACATGAAGATTCCTGGATGGTGGTACACCTGGAAAGACCAAGAAGCACCAAGCCCCTTGCCCTGGGCCTTGTCCTCTGCATCTCCTCCAACTGGCTGTTCATCTGTATCCTTTATAATATCTTTTATAATAAGCAAGTAAATATAAATGTTTCCCTGAAGTCTATGAACTACTCTAGCAAATTATTGGAACCCAGGGAGGGGGCCAAGGGAGCCCTGATATATATCTGGTTGGTCAGAAGTTCTGGAGGCCAGGACTTGAGACTGGCAACTGAAGTGGGGGTAGGTCTCGTGGGAGTGGGCCCTTAACCTGTTGGATCTGATGCTATCTTCAGGTAGGTAGTGTCAGAAATAAATAAGTGGACACCCAGCTGGTGTCTGCTGGAGACTCCACTGCAGAATTGTTTGCCTGGTGTGGGGAAAGTACCCCTACACATCTGGAGTCACAGAAGCATTCTGTGAGTGTAGTAGGAGAAACGGACTTGGGTTTTTTTCCCCCTTGTAGATCTCAGAAGCATATCTATAAGAATTTTTAGTCTGAGGAATCTGTTTGAAAGACTGAACTGTTTTTTCTTTCCCCCCTTTTTAGATCCAGACTCTGAAGATTCTGCCATCTCCCAAGAGGAGATCTTGGAAGAAGATAAAATGGTTGCTGTTCGCTCGAATACTGAGTCTCATGTAAGTTTTCTGTCATTGGTTTCCATTCTTACGTGAATACTTAACTGGCTCCTACTGAATGGAAGAGACAAAAATAATTCGTCCAGTCTCTCTTTTAAGGAACTTGCACCTCATTTTTCACATGCAGTTCTATTTCAGTTTACAGAATGTGCCATGAATCTGACTCTAATTAAATAAAAACGTTCACTAAAATTCAGTAATTATGCCTGATAAAATTAGCCAGGTGGAAGTACAGGTACATTTCCTTATCATGATAAAGAATATCCTTAGCTGGATAATATTGGAAAATAAAAAGTCCTCACAATGTCAGTAAAAAGTTAAGGATGGCTAGGTGTGGTGGCTTATACCTGTAATCCCAGCACTTTGGGAGACTGAAGTGGGAGGATTGCTTGAGCCTAGGAGTTTGAGATCAGCTGGGCAACTGGACCAGCTAGTGAGCCCTCATCTTTACAGAAAATTAGATGGGCATGATGGTGTGCCCTGTAGTCTCAGTTACTCGAGACAGAGAGGAAAGTTGCCTGAATCCAGGAGGTCAAGGCTATGGTGAACTGTGATCATGCCATTGTACTCCAGTCTGGGTGACAGAATGAGACCCTGACTGAAAAAAAAAAAAAAAGATGTTTAACTCACTTCTAGATCTGTATTTTCAGAATATTCTAGGCAGTGTGATAAGATAAACAAATGGGATCTAAGTATTGGTGTGGATTAGGCAAATATATGCTATTTGCAAATAATATTTTCTATTTGGAAAGCTTTACAGAACCAACTGAACAAGTACCAAAATTCATAATAATTAGGAAAAGCAGCTGGTTACAAATCAGTAACTCACAGTAGCAAATAATAGTGCCATGGTAGACCAATAATGACTCTAAAAGAAATGTTCAGTTCCTGATCTCTGGAAGCTGCAAATGTTACATTATTTGGAAGAAGAAACTTTGCAGGTGTATTTAAGTTAATGATTTTTAGGTGAGGATTTATTTGCATTTTACACAGATATCCTTTTTAGAGAAGCATAGGGAGATTGAAAACACAGAGAGAAGAAGATGACAGGAAGAGCTAGGCAGAGCTTGGACTGATAGGGCCACAAGCCAAGGAATGTTGACAGCCACCAGAGGCTGGAAGAGGCAAGGAACTGGTTCTCTCCCAGAGCCTCTGAAGGGAGTGCAGCTATGCCAACACCTTGATCTTTAACTTCTGGCCTCCAGAACCGAGATAGTACTTATTATTTTATTTTTTTTTTTTTGCGTTGGAGTTTTACTCCGTCGCCCAGGCTGGAGTATAGTAGTACACTCACAGCAACCCCGGTGTCGACCTGCTGGGCTCCAATGATCCTTCTGCCTCCACCTTCCAAGTAGCCGGAACTACAGGCATGCGTTACCACACCTGGCTAATTTTTGATTTATTGTAGAGACAGGGTCTCACCAAGTTGCCCAGGTTGGTTTCAAACCTGCGGGCTCAGGCAATCCACTCGCCTCAGCCTCCCAAAGTGCTGGGATTACAGGCTAAGCCACTGAGCCCAGCCATTTCTATTGTTTTAAGCCACCAAGGTTTTGGTAATTTGTTATAGCACCCACATGAAGCCAATAGCCAGTTGCTACTCTGCTATAAATTACTTCTCGAGCCATGCAGAGGATGCTGTAGAAAGTGTATTTCAATGAGTCAGTATGCTTGTTTGTAATTGTGGAGTAATTTTAAGTGAGTATATTACTGAAGACAGATTCTCTTGGATTATGATAGAAAAATTGTTGCATGTAACTGAAAGTTAAATTTTGGAATGTGATTGCTGATATTATTTTTTTATATTTTATTATTACCTGTATTTAGTTTTCATTAATTCTATAAACTTGGGTTTTCGAAATGTAAATCATACCTTTCATTTAACATTTTTCTTTTAATCCTAGAAATCAGTGTGTTGGGGTGAACTGGATCAGTGTTCGATAGTCAGAGAATTCTTGTACAGGATTTAACACCAGAGAATGAATGGGCAAAGAGTATAATACTTTTGTTCTAGATCACTTGAAGCAGTCATATAACAGTCACTCCATAGCTTACTCTGGAATTCTTAAAAACTTGAATGTTATCAAGACCATTCTTTAGGCCAGGCATGATGGCTCAATCCTATAATCCCAGTACTTTGGTAGGTTGAGGCGAGAGTAATGCCTGAGCCCAGGAGTTCAAGACCAGCCTGGGAAACTTGGTGAGACCTCATCGCTACAATAAATTAAAAAATCAGATGGGTGTGGTCGGGTGTACCTGTAGTTCTGGCTACTTGGAACGCTGAGGCGGAAGGATCATCTGAGCCCAGCATGTCAACGCTGAGTTGACCATGAGCGTGCCACTGCACTCCAGCCTGGGCAATGGAGTGAGATTCCAACTAAAAAAACAAACAGAAAAACCGTTCTTTATATTCTACCCACTTTTCAGAACCTTTAGAGTCTATCTGGGAATAATCCAATGCAAAAGGACTGTGTTTGGTGTTCTAGGAAACTATAACATTCAAGGATGTGACTGTGAACTTTTCCAGAGGAGAATGGAGGAAGCTGGAGCCTTTTCAAAAGGATCTGTACAAGGAAGTGTTACTGGAAAACTTCAGAAACCTAGAATTTCTCGGTAAAGACATTCTCTCTTCATTATCTAGCAATTAAGCTAAGTATATTTTTGTCTCTCTTTATTGGAAGATAAGTGCTATGTGAAGTACTTTGTTTTGGCTAGGCATCCAGGGATTGATACAACTGATTTTAAAAATGGGTTCTAAAGATATGCTTTTTTGCAACATTTTTGCCATAAAAGGTATTTGCTTTATTGAATTGGAAATGTAGAGCGTCATTTTGCTGTTATGAATGCTGTACCTTCCCCTACTTTTTCCCTCAAATTCCAGTATTGATGTCTGTGTATTTGATGGCATCTTTTGTCTTCTCTGGAGAGCCTGAGACTGGTTATGAATGTTGGGATGTCTTGTATATAAATAGCTCTTTTTTATTCTTTTCTCTATGAGCAGGCTTTCCAGTTTCCAAATTAGATTTGGTTTCCCGGCTAAAATGGGTTGACTTGCCATGGTTGCTGGAAAAAGAAGTATCAAAAGGCTCCAGACCAGGTGAGTTGATGAAAAGTAGACAAGGATGTGAAAATAGTTTTTACCACATTTGTTGGGAAGAGCCTTTGAAAAGTTGGGCAGACCGGATGCTAAAATATAAAGTTAATTAAAATAGAACCCTTGCCTTCCTGGAATGTGCATTTAAATGGGAGAGACTTTTGGCTTAGGTCCTCTGAGAAGTACATGTTAAAACATGATTAACCATGCAAGAAATTTATTAGGGAAAATGCTGGTGAAGGAAAATGGGGAGGGAGCTGGAAGAAGCTAGGAAAACTGTCAGAGCATGGTGAGGGAAGGCAGGCAGGTTGGAAGAGTCTTAAGACCGAGGTGCAGTTCTAAGAAAGTTTAGGTAAAATCAAAAAAGAGTCCTTGAGCCATAGTCTCTGTCAGAGGAGTCCTGTGTCTCAGAAACAGGTTGTCTTAAGTATCTCTGTACTCCATCATTGACTGGGAGAAGCCTGGGGGAAGGTGTGAATGCGGTGGTGGATTTTTTTTTTTTTTTTTTGAGTTGGAGTCTCACTCTGTCGCCCAGACTGGAGTGCGGTGGCCGCTCCCAGCCACTGCAGCCTCGCCTGCTGGGCTCCGGCGATCCTTCCGCCTCAGCCTTCCAAGTAGCTGGAACTACAGGAGCACGCTACCACGTCCGGCGAATTTTTGATTTATTGTAGAGATGAGGTCTCGCCAAGTTGTCCAGGCGGGTCTTGAACCCGTGGGCTCAGACAATCCACATACCTCAGCCTCCAAAGGCGCGGGATTACAGGCTGAGCCACCGAGCCCAGCTGCGGTGGTGGGATTCACAGAGCAGCAATGGGAGCTGTTAGGGGATCTTCCCACAGGAGAGGCCCAATTTTATGGATACTGTAGAGAAGATATTAAAATGAAAAGTGTTAATGATGTGATGCATGCTATAATGTGTGGGAACATATAGGAGCATGGGTTTAATTAGCATTTGAGTTGAATATTGAGGGAGAAGTAGGAATTCACTCGGTACAACATGTATAGTAATTCCATTTTTGTTAAAGAGAAAGAAATATATGTACACTTACATCTAAATGTATAGATATATATGAATTTTTAATATCTGAAAAGCATTCATGTTAACACTGATTATCTTTGAAGGATTTGATTTTTTTTCTTTATATGGTCCCTTGTTTATATGGTCCCTTTTTTTCTTTATATGGTCCCTTAAAATTTATATATATATATTAAATTTACATTTTAAAAAATTCATTAATTACGTATATCAATACTTTGGTTCAGTTTTTTAAAATGCAATAATTGTCCTCTCTTTCATCTTCTAAACTATTCATTTTAGTGAATCTATTGGCTATTTCCAATGGACAGTTGACCCTTGAACAATGTGAGGGTTAGGGGAGCCGACCCTTGTGCAGTTAAAAATTCCTGTATACTTTTTTTTTTTTTTTTTGAGTTGGAGTCTCACTCTGTCACCCAGACTGGAGTGCAGTGGCACACTCCAGGCCACCACAGCCTCGCCCTGCTGGGCTCTGGCGATCCTTCCACCTCAGCCTTCCAAGTAGCTGGAACTATAGGTGTGTGCTATCACACCCGGCTAATTTTTTGATTTATTGTAGAGATGAGGTCTCGCCAAGTTGCCCAGGCGCGTCTTAAACCCGCGGACTCAGGCATTCCACTCACCACAGTCTCCCAAAGCACAGGATTACAGGCTGAGCCACTGAGCCCGGTTCATGTATACTTTTTAACTCTCCAAAAGCTTAACTGTTAAGCCCCACTGTTGACTGGAAGCCTTAGTCATAACATAAAAAGTCAATTAACACATATTTTGTTTGTTATATGTATTATATACTGTATTCTTACAATAAAGTAAGCAAGACCAGATGCAGTGGCTCAAGCCTATAATCCCAGAACTTTGGGAGGCCGAGACAAGAGGATTGCCTGAGTCCACGGTTTCGAGACCAGCCTGGGCAACTTGATGAGACCTCATCTCTACAATAAATCAAAATTAGCCGGGCATGGTGGCATGCACCTGTAGTTCCAGCTACGTGGAAGGCTGAGGCCAGAGAATTGCCTGAGCCCAGCAGGTCGAAGCTGTGGTGACCATGAGCATGCCACTGCACTCTAGCCTGGGCATCAGTGAGAGTCCAACTCAAAAAACAAAGAGAGAGCCAGACTTGTAGACACTGGGGTCCAGGTGGCATTTGAGACCCTGGGAGTGTCTGGCTTATCTCTGGGGACATCAA